CTGCCGCTTCAACCTTACCGTCAACAAGCAACAATTCAATTTGGAAGTCTACAAAATACAGCCGCTCGCAAAGGAATAAAAGAAAAATTGAAAAGTTTCAGTATAATCAACCTCTTATAACCAACTTTATTTCGATATTAGAGAAAATAAATTCTACTCTTAAGGAAAATAGAGAAATATTGAAAGCTTTTAAGGAAACGGTGATGGTTTGTCTAAATGAACCCGAGAATGAATCTGATGAGAATAAGCCAGAATCGAGGCCAGAATCAATGCCAGCAAACAAATTTTTAAACATGATGCTTAAGAGAGATTTTGGTACTAATTTGGTATTTTTTTTAGAAATAATTTGGTATTATTTGGTAATAAACTTGTATTATTTGGTAATAACCTGGTTTTATTTGGTATTAAACTGGTATTAAACAGGTATTTTGTTGGACATCTGGCAACGCTGGATTGGACGCACGTGGCGACCACAGCCGGGAAGCTGATTGCATCATTTCTAGCCCATTTGCATCTAAAGCTAATACTGAAAAATATCTGGAATCTAAAGGTGCTTTGACAAAATCGCTTAGTTCTGGAAGTCTTTCAGAAGATACCACTCTACATGTTTTGGAAACTGATTATACCCAAGAACATAATATAGTTTCTAAAATTCAAAAGCAATGGTTAAAGTCAAAATTGGTGGAGTTAAAGTCAAAAAATCGGAGCACTCTAAACAGAAATAGTCTGTTTAATAACATTATTTTTAGCATATCAATTTTACTTCCAAATTCTACTGCAAACTTCGAGGCAAACTCGATTTCAGGATCGACTTTAATATGCAAAATAACCTGCTTTTGTAAAAAGCAAGTAACTTACAAATAAAATATCATCCTTCTACAAAACCACAAAACAAGAGTTACAAAGGCACGCTGGGTATATAAGCTCAAATTTTCAAACACACTTGATAAAGCATTTTGATATAACAAATAAATTATTTATACCAAAAATTAGTAATAATCGCAGTGTTAATTACGAGGTTAAATCAGAGGTAAGCAATAATTCTTCATATACCTCTGAGGCACAACCAAAAATAACTTCATTTCTAAAAAAGCCTTCTACCGAGCCTTCTACGGAAAATACCGAGGAAATTACAGAGGCATGCAAATCCTCATGTAGCAAAATTGTACCCCTAATCTAATATGTGAAGCTCCTGTAATCAAAGAAATCCTAAAAGAAATCCTAATGAAGCCTCGGAACTACCCCCTTATCAGCCGCCACTTCAGCCATACCATCCACAAGCAATAATAATTATCTCCCCGATGTTACTCCTTTACTGCCATTATCAGCTGCCGCTTCAACCTTACCGTCAACAAGCAATAATTCAATTTGGAAGTCTACAAAATACAGCCGCTCGCAAAGGAATAAAAGAAAAATTGAAAAGTTTCAGTACAATCAACCTCTTATAACCAACTTTATTTCGATATTAGAGAAAATAAATTCTACTCTTAAGGAAAATAGAGAAATATCGAAAGCTCTTAAGGAAACGGTGATGGTTTGTCTAAATGAACCCGAGAATGAACCTGATGAGAATAAGCCAGAATCGAGGCCAGAATCAATGCCAGCAAACAAATTTTTAAACATGTTGCTTAAGAGAGATTTTGGTACTAATTTGGTATTTTTTTGGAAATAATTTGGTATTATTTGGTAATAAACTGGTATTATTTGGTAATAACCTGGTTTTATTTGGTATTAAACTGGTATTAAACAGGTATTTTGTTGGACATCTGGCAACGCTGGATTGGACGCACGTGGCGACCACAGCCGGGAAGCTGATTGCATCATTTCTAGCCCATTTGCATCTAAAGCTAATACTGAAAAATATCTGGAATCTAAAGGTGCTTTGACAAAATCGTTTAGTTCTGGAAGTCTTTCAGAATATACCACTCTACATGTTTTGGAAAGTAATTATACCCAAGAAAATAATATAGTTTGTAAAATACAAAAGCAATTGTTAAAGTCAAAAATCGGAGCACTCTGAACTGCAATAGTCTGTTTAATAATATTATTTTTAGCACATCAATTTTACTTCCAAATTTTACTGCAACCTTCGAGGCAAACTCGACTTCAGGATCGACTTTAATATGCAAAATAGTAGACTTAATATGCAAATCTAATTTGGTATTTTTTTGAAAATAATTTGGTATTTTTGGTACTTTTTTCCCAAAATTGGTATTTATTGTACATCATTTTTGGCAGCGGTTTGCCCCTCGTAGAAAACCCTGTCTTTTAATTTCCAGAATGCGTTTGAGGCGCTGCTAATCCTGTGTTGAATTTCAGAGTCGATATTGACCTTTTCTGAAATGAAACTGCCGAGATAATTGTTGATTCTACCTTATAATCGATCGTTTCCATACATATCAGCGAACCGTGTGTATTTAGCAAGAGCTGCCATACTTGAAAAATTTTACTCGTTGTTCAAACCAAACCAAAACATTCTAACGGCGATCTTTCTTTCCTCGATTCACTATACCGTCAGCGGTATTTAGCCAGTTTGAGAAAAAATATCCAGAAACTAGGTTCAATAATTTATTAAAAAATGTATTATACAAAACCTCTCTGTCGCTCTTTAAAAAAACATTAGCCGTCTGCCAACCGAGAGAGACTCGGTCTCGATACGATTTCCATTAATATTTGAGGAGCGTCGCCGGCGTCTAAATTGGACGCGCCCGACGCCCGAATCGACGTCGCGGTCGCCGGTTTTGCTCTGCGCGAAATTATTTTAAAATCAGCCGCTCGATTAGCCAATTAGGGTGGCGAATTTATTTTTTCCGCTTCATTTCGCTTGAGATACATTATAGAGCAGCTGAAAAACGAGCTCAGTTTTAACATAAAACTTTTAATAGAAATTAGAAATATTCGATGAAAAGCACCACCATGGTATTTATGTATAAAAAAAATTAGATAACATATTTATCATAATTTTTAGAGTTCTGATTCACATTTTATTACAAAATAAAATATGGGAGTGAACGATTTTTTATAAAACTTTTTGCATTGTATTGTTAATAAGATATATTACAAAGTTTACCTATTTAAATTCGTTGCTTTCACTTCACTATTTAATTAAACACACATATACAAATCCATACACATACAAGATGGCTCCGTGTTCCGAAAAAGCTCTGTATCAGGATTCCTATTTGAGATTTTCACTCCAAACGTTTTACAAAATATGTGTTTAATAGTAGTTTACATTTCAAAAATATTTTTATAGATATACAGGGTGAGTCAAATATATTTTTACACTTAAGTTTTAGTTTTTCAAATTAAATGCTCTATATTTGTTTAGTTCGGTGAATTTGCTATAAAATTCCGGTTCCAAAAATATATTTATACCACAAAATATACTGAGTGGTTTTTGAATTATGTCCACGTTCATTGAGGACGTCAATCTAGACGTCCAGGAACATTCGTATGAGAACTTCCAATCGAGACGATCGACTTATTGTAAGTTTATCGCTAAGAAACCGCCGTTTGCCAGTTTTTCAAATTTATAATAAATTGCACATATTAACTAATAGACTATAAGAAGAAGGCTAAATGAAGACCAGAACTTACTAGATCTGTTGACTAGGACCAAAAGCAAAAGCATGGTCTTAATGTAAAAATTACGGAAAAATGTTAACATGTTCTTCAAAAACGAATATCTTCAACAAAAATAATGCTAATGAGATGAACCAAAAAACATCTATCATCTATCGAGAAAGGATGTATCTAGATGATAAAATGATTTTTAAATTTCTTCTACATGTTCCACAGGATGTTTCAAGCTTTCACCAAAATATCAACATTTTGTTTTTCCTTGTATAATTAACTGATGGGTAGCTTCGTTTTTAACTTAGGAAGACAAAAATAGTAGATAAAAAGCTTTCTAGATGGTTTGATAACGTCCACTCTGAATGAAATGCAGTGCAAACTAAGATCTAGTAACTTATCAAAAGTTACTTCATTGTATAATGACTGTAGATTCACAATAGATGTTTCTTATGGTAGTGTAGTTTAATATTAATTCCGTACAATTCCAAATTATATATTTGATTCTGATTATTTTACTTATTTACACCTATTTCTTACGTACATATTATAAATTTTCAAGTGAAACATATTATGTAAACAAAATTAGTTCAAAAGCTCATTAAAACGATTTACTCGGGACAATTTTAGCAACAAAGTGATAAAGACGCGTAATGGTCGCATGCACATTAAATTGCGCCATTCCGCTAAGCCGAGGTAACGGGAATCGAGTTATTGTCACGAACGGCCCGTTCGAACGCGTTAAATTACCATAGAGGGCCAGCACGTGTCGCCATTTAAGCTTGTAAGATGCAAGATCGAACATGTCATTGTCTATTGGCATGTATAACCGCGAACTATCTATTAATATTGTGTGTTTAATAGATTTTCGTATAAGTAGGTACGTCTATGATTTTTAATCTGGAAATTATATATTATGTGCAAGAAAATGCTAATCAGGACCCTAAAAATTATGATAAAGTTTAAAAAATACCGTATGTTGAAGAAAAAACGACGTCAAAGACGATTGAGAAATGACAACCATTGATAAAGTTACCGAACCATTAAAAATAAAAAAGAATACGGATCAAGTAAATGACGTCAAGGGCTTACTTAAAGTAACTCGTTTTAATGAGCTTTAATACTAATTTTGTTACGTACTATGTTTCACTTGATCTACTGGTATTTACGCAAAAAGTAGATGTAAATAACGTAAAACAATCCGTATCAATAATAATATACTTCGGAATTGTGCGGTTTTAATATTAAACTGCATTATTAGCGAAGTAATTTAACCAAAAAGAACATATTTTATCATACATAAAAGAAAACACTTCACTACAGCCCGAAATAAGAAATAATTTGACAATTTGCTCAATAGTTGTATACAACTATTGAGCAAAAAAAAAATTTATACCTATAGGTCATTTTTTTTTTTTTTCATTATGACTCTACATCGTAGCCAATCCTCGTTTCAGATTATGAACGCCTATACAATGATTTTTATTAAAAATACAGGGTGAGTCATAAAGAGGTGCAAATATTTTTGGGGGTAGTATATTTCAACCCCACAAACACGATTATGATTTTTTTTCGCGAAATTTTTTTTGAGAATTTGAAATTTTTATTTTTGGATTTTTTTTAGTTTTAAGTTAAAAAACATAATTTCTTGATAACATGGTTGCAAGATCGGTAGTAAATTAAATTTACAACAGAGAAAACTCAGAAAAGATCCAGTGGTTCTCATAATTTAATAAAAAAAAATTTTGTGGAAATTTTCAAAGTAAAATAGCTCGGTTATTTTTGATTTATTTAAAAAACGGTAAAGAGGAAATATATGTTTCTTTCATCGAGATCTACCACCTCTAAAAATATTTACACTATTTTAGACTCATCCTGTATATCGAGCAACACAAGATTTATTTGCTTCACTCTATGCTAATTGAGCCAGAAGCTCTTAAAATCTAGTTATTATTGATCTATTACTACATCTTTTTCTTACTATCCTCAATCACCTGAAGTTTGGTATAATATTACTTTTACACTTTGTATAGCATCAGAATTTTTGTTAAGTTGGCAGTATTTTTGATATATAAATAAATTAGAATCCATTCTGATTAGAACAAGTGTGCTAGGAAGTAGACATTTTTTTTCTAAATTATGTCCTAAAATACATTTTGGAGAATGAGAGAAACACTGTATTATTCGAATATGTTGTAAAAACTACGTTTTTTCTATGTTATGAAAATAATCCACTTTTTGATTGTCTAACTTATCTATGTTTTCTTTTGCTTTCAGTGCCGCCAACCAAAATCGTCATTTCCAACGAGGAAACCGGCACCGCTCTGACATCTGTCGTGGGACCGTTTCCAGAAGGCGCTTCCTTCACTCTGCGCTGCGACGTTTCCGGAGGTAAGATTGACGGCTCCGGGAGCTCAGCGCCCCGGATTTTATTTCTTTCAGGCCGCGCCGGCATCATTGCGTCTTACTGTTATAGAAGTTTTTTACTGTTTGATCAAATAAAATCATTATGATATAATAGAGCTGAGTGAAATATGTCTAAGGACATTGTAATGTTATACACTTACTAGAGTTTCTGGAACTATTTTTTGAATTTCGGTAACACGCCTCAAAGGAACCGAGATTTTACAGTTTTCTCGGCATTTTCGGTATTAGCCAATTTTTGTTTAGTGATGGTGCAGTTCGTCAATCAGCAACTAAAGGATGGTTTCCAAAGTAAAATCTATAAAAATATTTTTTTTAATAAACAAGTTAATAAATTATTAAGTAATCTTTCATGAGAAAATTATCATCAACACAAACATAAACACAAGCGAAGAAAAAATATAGGTATATTAACGTTCACATTAAACAACATAAACCAAGGTAAATAAATTTGAAAAGAAATACTTATTCTACGATTTCCAATTATGGTATAGTGTCTCCCTAACATATTGAGATCATTTTTTTGTAGATGGGCCCATTGTTGGTCTATTGTTGGCTATGCGGGCCCAACTTATCCCTGCTAATTTCCTAATGTGTTCCCATCCCAGGTTTGGTCATCTTCTAGGTCTATTAATTCCTCTTGAGTACCATGCTGTATTTCTTGTGGTCCATGTGTTGTCAGTCCTTGTTGCCAGGTGTCCTATTCATTACTTTGAGAGATTTGATTCTGTAGAATACAGGGTCTTGTAACGTTTTAGCTATAAGCCTAGTCAGTAGCTACGGCTGTAAGGATTTATGGTATCGCTCTGTGGGAGCGCGCGCTGTCAACATCGCTTCTGTCAATTCTCTGTGATCTAACTTCACTTTTGGTTGGACCGTTTGGCCTCTTAGACGCCATTAGTCCCAGTGTTGAGAAATGGTGGTCATTTAAATCTGGCTGTATTATCTGAATCAGCTGCCATTTCGAAGCTACAGGTAAAGCTGAGTTATTTTCCTTTTAGATTCGATATTATTAGTGAATATTTTTAGGGTAGAGTTACGGATGTCCCAACTTGTATTTGTATTTGGCTGGCACGTTGGCGTCCCTTTGCTTTTGTCCTCCAGAATGTCATTTGGAAGAAAGGACAGATTGTTTATTATTTATTGAGCCCTCGGAAGTATTTCGAGGTAGGTTCATTTTGTTTATTAGACGGTGTTTGATTTTAAACAAGAGTTTCGTGTTCTTAGGGTCTTACGGACGGACATTGTCTTACGGACAAGTGTCCAAGGTATGGACTATTTTTCAAGGTCCTAGTAGTGTTCTCTTGTGCCACTATCTTATGGACGGATGTCCCATGGACAAGTGTCCCCAGTAGGATTGATTTGTCTTACACATAGAGTGCCCCAGCGTGGATGTGGCTTGAGCCCCGTGCTGCTTCACCCCCATTTCTAAGCCTGGATCGCCGACAGACAGTACAGAGATGCTAGACCTCCTCGCGCTGCTACTGTTTGAAGCAGGGTTACATAAAAGAACAGCTAAGTGTATATTTAAGTTCTAGTTTTGCATTTAACATCTAAAATGTTTTCAGTCTTAAACAGTAATGTACATTTTAAACAATAGCGTACATACTATATTTAGTGGTTAGATTATTAAGGCTATTTATGTCGATGCAGTAGTAAAAGTGTGATTTAGATTTTAGATTTCATAATATCACGCATTGTAATAGTATTACTTTCTATAGACATTATTATTACGCTATACTAACAGATGAATCACGAGATAGATTCTAGAATCTACAGGTTGCAACACATCTGATTTAACACCGTATAAATTTAACAATTTAAATAAAGTAATGCTACTTTTCCTATATTTTCTATAACGTTACACGCATTGTATTTTCTTTATAGTCTTTTCATAGAACGTATTTAATATTATTTACATATATAGTTTTACTCAATTGTACAATGCTATTTACCATCAGAATTCATCACGAATAAATATAGTCATTAGTTTTAAGTATTATACAACTGAGTTTTCTTTCTCTGTACATGCCTGGCGCCCAATATCTATACATCTTATGTTTATTATTATTGATTAATTTTCTCTCTAGTGAAATACCTTATCCACGACTGCTCTCCGATGAAAAGCTGCCGTTCGCAGTAGTAGTTGTTTAAAAAACGCTACAGTCTTAAATAAGTGCAAATATTTTCAGGGTTGGTAAATCTCGACAAAAGGAACATATTTTCTCCGGTTTTTCACCGTTTTTCAAGTACCTAAATCCAAAATAACTCAGTTATTTTACTTTAAAAATAAAAAAAATGCATATTTTTGCACATATTCTGAGAACCACTTGATCTTCTCAAGGTTTTCTTTATTGTAAATATTTAATCTGCTACGTATGCTTAATACCCTAAATACTACCTAACAAAAAGTAAAAAAAAATTTTTTTCAAAAAATCCCAAATTTTAAAAATCTTTTTTCCGCAAAAAAAAACTCATAAAAGTGTTTTGGGGGTCAAAATTATATTTTGACCCCTAAAAATATTTCCACTTATTTAAGACTCCCCCTGTATTATTACCTAGGTCTTTTTGTCGTATCCATTCTTTTTTTAGGACCTTTCTTTGTTATTCCAGCATATTTCGTCCCATTTAGCATATTATGCGACCTGCCGTGGTATGCGACCTGCCTTGGATATGATTGAATTTATTCCGTAATATTCTCCCTGCTAAATTAATTTTTCTGTTTATTTCTGACAAATTAGGCACATTTAAAAAAAAATTGACATTTTCAGCTGACAACGCACACTGCTGCTAGCCTTTCTGAAATAAACTTTTTTTTAGGGTTCCGTACCCGAAGGGCAAAAACGGGAACCCTATTACTTACTTCGCTGTCCGTCAGTCCGTCTGTCACAAAGCTCTATCTTATGAACCGTTATAGCTAGACAGTTGAAATTTTCACAGATAATGTATCTATGTTGCCGCTATAAGAACAAATACTAAAAACAGTATTAAATAAATATTTATAAATAAAAAAGTACTTTCACTAAACATTATCCCCAAGTAGCATCTATCTGACTTTGAACTAAATCTGACCTGAAGCGACGTCAGACTTTATGCAAATTTAGGTCGGGTGCTGGTGATACGACTGGTGACGTCGCTTTCCTATTAAAAGCCACGTCGTTGGATCCGAGTCGGCAAATCCAACGATCTGTCGACGTACAAAATAACAACGTACCATTTTTATTAATTTCCCAACGCGTCGTTCCCACGTTGGCTTGCACGACGTACATATACTTGAACTAGCCCGACGTCTACCCGTTGTCCGAATAGGATACGTCTCACTGATAATCTCTAAAGGAACGTCCAATTATATTTTGTTGTATTTTATGTTCATATTTATAACCTAATTTACGTATCTCTATTTACGTCCGTAAATACAACCCATTAAGTAGCATTTGCGACCTAATGAACATCATGAACATAACCTAATAAAAAGTTTTTGTAAACAAACTTAATTTTTTTATTATGCCTAAAAAACATTAAAAAGGCATTTAGACATTCATCTACATTTTACAAAAGGAAAGAAAAAAGGAAAGAGGTCGAGGCTTTTGCAAAATAATAATAGTAGTAGTGATGTCTTGCCTCCACCCGTAAATGCTTTTTTGCACTGGTGCATCTTAATTTCATTTTTTAGCTTAGGAAACCAGCAGACCCCATCCTCCTCCGACATGTGAGGTTAGGCTTAAAAAAGTGGCTGCCCATTTTTTTAAGGAGAAAACAAAAACTAAAATATAGTTGCACAAATCCACAAATCACTGATACGCAAAGTGAGGTTACGTGGCGTACGTTGGAATTATATACGTCATATAAGACGATTGCCGGTCGTCCGGTTTGATGACTTCGATCGTGTGAGACGACTAATGTTGGAGACCCGGTCGGAATTGGTATATTAGTAGTTCATATTAAGTCGGACACAGAAATCCGCCATTCTTAACACGTATCCGATTGTCAGCCATTTTAAAATCGTTTTTTGTTTTTAAAATTTATATTCACATTTCGATTTCTAGTAGAATAATATTGATAAAGTTGTGTTTGGGGGGAACCACAGTACAGTTTTATGATTAAACCAGCTAGAAAATTAAAAAAAAATTGTGAGTTACTTTTTTATAGATATTTTTATTTCATAAATCTACCTAATTTTGAAGGCGCTCGTTGTTTTCCGGAGTATTTTAACCAAATATATCAAGAAAGTGACTTCCGTTGACAAAACTGATGTCTGGATTAATGATTCAGAATTATTATAATATGAAATTAGATAGGCACTTATAGTTATATTCGAGGAGTGATTATGAATCCATTTGTAATTAGGTAGTTTGGTTAGGTTTTTATGTATTCTTGAGAGCAAATATGAAACCAAAAATAACGTAAGTGCTTAGCGACGAATTTTAAGTAACTAAAATCCAACGTAATATGACGTTGGTAATTGGTAGAATTACATTCCCTATTAGGTCAGATACCGACGTCGAGGCGACCCGAATCTGTATTCCCCATTTAGGTGCAAATAAGGGTCGTCAGGCGATCGAACCGACGTTGGTACCCGTTGAAGTACCCGTACTGCTATGAAGTTGGAGCCGTAGTAAGGCAGGTTCGAATCCTAGTCAAGGCGACTTTTTTTTAATCTTTTTTTTTTATTTTTCCATATTTATTTTTACTTTTTACATATTTATTATTGATTAATACAATTTTTAGTAATGTTTTTCTTCATTTTTTTTTAAATTACTTATACGCGCAATCAAAATTTTAGCTAAATCGGAAAAAAGTTTATAATAATATAATGTCTAATGTTGTATAGATAATTCATTATAATGAATGGTACGGAACCCTTCGTGCGGGAAGACTCGCACTTTTTAATAAATATTTTATCAAAAAAAAAACCTTACAAATTCAGAGTTTTGCAGCCGGCTTTCATACTTAATATGTTGATACAA